CTTCCGTGTCGCACCACTGTGGGGCACCTTGTAAATTCATATCTATGGTTATAATTGTGTTCGAATGAGTTTATAGTTTTTTTAACTTGACTAGTGAAGGACCTCGAACTTCTAAAATAAACGATTTTAACTTAGCTTAGGAGTTAGTTTTTTTGATATCAAGTGACGGGACGAATAAGTTGTGCGACTGGTATTAAGCGACACGCCTGTCCGTAGCAGTTGCAGTGCCACACAGAGCTTTATATCGCAAAGTTCTGAAGGTGTCACTGCGCCCGTCGGCCTGAGACATAAGTTGATAAGTCCCATGTACCTGTAATGTCACCGGCACCTTTGCCCTTCTAACCCGAAGCGCAGTAATACTCACATTATGTATAATTGCTTGGCGGTAGAAATAATTAAAGAAATAAATTATTATTCCTTTTAAATATATAATTTATTATTATAAGAAACATAGAATCGATGTCCAATTTACAGAGACACTCAACTCTTAGCGTTACAAACAGCCGAAAAACTACTCGCAGAAGTATCACCAGTTGACCGTAAGGCTCTAGAAGCCCTACTTCTACTTGCCAATCGGCAGAAAGGACAGGCAGAACGTGTGTTGCAGGAGTTGCTTCCCTTGGTGACAGAGGACACTTATCAGGACGACCCGTATCTGATCCTCGCAATTGCTAATGCGTAAGTTGACCTTTGCTTCATATCGTTCGTTCGTCGTTCGTTGTCGTTCGTTCTTCGTTTTTCAAAGATAATGAAAATAAAAATATAATGTGGTATATGAAAAGGGATAAATAGATATCTATTTGTTATAATTATTAATACAAAGATAGAACACAAAGAAAAATTAATTCGATCTGACAGGACTGTATGCCAACGCTCTACCACCTGAGCTAGGTGGTGAGAAGCCGTAAGTGGTGAGAAGCTTCACACATCTCTCACAAGTGTCGCTTACGGCGATACCAGCCGGACAACCCAATACAAAAGATCTGTAACAAACAGAAAGGTCATGGGTCACGAAAGTATAGAAACCATACCCAACGGCGTACAGATATGACATATGGCTAGACTTGTAGAAAAATATCTGTATATTACAACGGCATATGTCGCTTTTCTGTGGATACTAGGAATTATGAAATAAAAAGATTCATTTTTATATAAAAAAATTTATGTTAGTGCAAAATATTTGTGTGTTTTGCATTTATTGTCAACAACCGACCGCGCAGGTTTTGCGTACGAGTGTTATGATATTTATTTTGACAGAAAGTCTGATAATAACTTAAATAGGATTTTCGCACAATTAAAAATATGTTTAATATCAAATCTTTATTTGCCCTGTTACATGTTAACCAAGTAGATTTTCCATATTTTTTTTATATAAAGTCGAAAGTGGTTTACAATTGCATAATTTAAAAGTAATGGTGATTTTGTACGCAAACGTCCGTTAACCGCGTCAGATTATGGGCCATGATCTTTGTAAGGTCTGTTGACCAGAAGATATTTAGGTTGTAAACTAATATAACAACAATAATTGTTTATTTCAGTCCGTGAACCATATTTAGAAAATACATACAATTCATACTTTTAAAACATCTAATAACTTTAAAATAAAAATAATAAAAATTTCATATAAAGTCAAATTAAAATAATAATAATAAGATAAAAATAATTACATAAAAACAGTACAGAGTACTAAAAAAAACAGACCTCAAAAGTCATTCATCTCCCGAGTTTGCCACCGATGTCCGATGTCCCCTTTTTCCAACAAAAAAAGTATCATCGGTTCGCCGGAGTTATCGCATAACATACATACAAAAAAAACATAGTCGAATTGAGAACCTCCTCCTTTTTTTTTAAGTCAGTTAAAATAAGATTAATTCAAGTCAAGCTCATCCCACGTAGCGATTTCAAGCCAATGGTTGTACATCGACGTGGTAGTCAGGCGAGCAAACAACTCTCGAACATAAGGTTGACAAGGATTGTCAAGGATTGTGTACGTCTCTGTATATTCCAAACGTAATAAAGATAATATCTCTAACAATGGCATGCTGTTCCATTTGCTGGTGTGGGGAAAACAGCAAAACATCTAATTACAGAACAAACGGAATCAAATTTCATAGGCAATTAAATATTACATATGTAATTTTGCAATTTTCGTCCATTATAGCAAAACACAAGTTAACTGGTCGATTTAAAGTGAAACAATTGACGACACCCGTCAATTGTTTCGAATTCGGGCTGGCCAATCGGAGCGCTGTTGTCACAGTAATAATATGGCAGAATAGTTTTCAAACAAATTAAGTGACATTCCGTCTCTATTTCTGTTTATGTATTCGATAACTGGGGATATAAAGCTTAAAATGTGATACTTAACGTGGCAGATAATCACACCATTTACCTGGTCGAAAACCAGAGAATTTCCCGTGTTATCACTTCCAGGATAATGCCACACAGGAGCCAATATACATAAGTGACATATCGATTTTCCAGGGTATAGATATCGTGGCCGTGGTATTATAAAACCACATACGTACCACGTACGTTATAAGTGCTTTTATCACATGAAAGTCATAAAAAAAACACGTAATACTTGAAACAAGTTATCGACTGATTTAGTTCGTAGAATCTTTAAATACTTTTTTATAAAATAATAAGTGTACATTTGACCTCCATTTCACCTGATGAAAGTGACCTTGAGGTCGACGGTGGAGCATGCACACCTAAATAATTCTTATTCACTCTCGCCTCAAAAAGGCCCACGTCTCTAAAACGTCTCTCCTGACCTCATCTGCAAAATAGCACCTTTTCAGGTGACTTATCATTTTGCAGATGTGGCTTTATTATACCAAAGGTACGAATTATTTATTTATGTATTTATTCATTATTGCTGTGTGTACAATTTGTGTAAAATTGATCTTAAAAACTATCACAGTCGCAGTTGTTGAACGCTGTTGGGACATTGTAATTTATAACATTTGAATTTATAATATTTATACTATTGACAAGACATTAAATAATACATGATTTAATAATTAAAATAAAATAGATCCGAACAATTCAACATCAATTCTAGGTCAATATAATTAAGAATTTTATTTTCATTTACATAGATTAGACGGTAAAATAGTTATTAAAAATTTTAATCGATGTCTTTATCATTAAAAAAAAATAATTTACTGAGTAGCATTTTTCAAAACAAAAAGTAATAATTTATGACACAATTTTTAAAATTTCTTATTTCAGTTACAACATCGTAAAGCAACCAACCCGAGCAAAGAACATTTTGAAGAGAACAATCTCGTCAATTCCCTGGACGCCCGAGAAGGCGGATGGTTTAGAAAGGTGCGCAAAAGTTATGTTGAAATTTACACTTTACACTGCGACTCCACTAGAAGAGCCTATGGAACGAAATGGCAGCGAATGTTTGTAACCATGTAATGATTTTTTTTCTTTTTATTGAGGAACAAACTTCTTTTACAATTAAAACGAAGAAAAAAGTCTTGAAACATTTAACTTATTACTAAACCTATAGTTCCCTGTACTTGTACGTGAACAAGTATAAAGTAACCAAAAACGAGCAATGCTCAATTAAAAATATGTAAGTAATGAAAAAATTACAATAAAGTTAAACAAAACAAAGAAAGATTGATCAATTAATGAGCATACCAATCCGTTTTCAAATTTTGATATGCTGATGTAATTTTTAAACTGCAAAGAAGAATCACATTTTGCATTGTATGAGGAACAAGTCCTTTTTATGAAACTATAGCTACCGTAAGATGTTTTACTAAACTTAACAACAAAAAGATCTTTTTTACGATTGGTTCACGAAAAAATATATTCTCCAACAAATGCAACGTAATGAAAATTTTATTATACTCCCTATATAGCAGTTTGTGGAGATATTTTAGGCAACGAGCTTATAAGGCCCTCCGGACTTAGTATAATAATGCGTTCCGGGTGCTAGTAGGGCTGCCCCGTTTCTGTAGCGCGTCAGGGATGTTTACAGAAGCAAGAGTGGATTGCTTGTACGCGACCATGCGCAAGCGAAGCACATCATTGGTGCGCCGGGTGCGGGCCTGCGCTCGATAGCAGATAGGCTCGACTGTCCTTAAATGAGGCACTGTTGTGAATTGCATATTGCCAACAGTGTCTATTTTGTATAATTTGGTACCCTACTTTTTTGTGAACCCAGTAGCGTCTTAGTTCAGTAGTTCATGCATATACAGACGCACGCCACTGTGCCGACCAGTTCTGTATTCAAGCGCACGTTTAAATTTTAAGTGTCGTATTCCAGAACTCTACTAAATGCTCAAGTCAGTATTTGAGTATGGTTTAAAACACTCGAAATCATACTCAAGTCCCTGCCATTAGGGTCGTATTTCCAGTGCTTGTGTTGCCAGTGCAACCATGACTTGAGCATTGAATAGAGTGCTAGAATACGACTCTTAGAGTCGTACTCTAGAATTCTACTCGACCCTAATGGCAGGGACTTGAGTAAGATATCAAGTGCTTTAAACCATACTCAAATCCTGACTTGAGTATTGAGTAGAGTTCTGGAATACGACCCTAAGAGTACCCCACCGTCGCAGTTATGATAAAATAAATGTAGTACAAAAATAACTTTTTTTCTTTTAAAGGGTTATGAAACGATATAACGATGTTCGGTAAAACCCAAAAGGGTTTATGTTACATCGTTTTAGTTCTTAAGCTAATTTGTAATTTTTTTTAAAGTGGTTTAATTAAATGAATTAATAATAATTATTATTATTATTATTATTAATTATAACAACGATTTATGTAATTTCAGATGTTGGTTAGAGGTGGCGGACGGCCAAGTGAGCACAGGAAGAATGGAAGCCGCCAAAGAAGTTCTTATTAAGATATTGAACCACAACAGCTCTTGCGCCCCGGCATACCAATATTTAGGTAAATTCTTTGATCCTCTAGTCGTCCTAAAGAAAGGCCAGGTCAAGAGTACCTACCCTCAATCAAAGAGCGCGAAATATAAAAATATGAAAGCATTGATGCGTGTTAATACGGAGAAAGGTGTGTGTCAGGCTCATAGCAATGTGGAAAACTGTGGTCTATACTTACCCTAATAGAAAAAGGGCGTGAAATACATTGTATGTATGTTTATTTATACCACATTGCAAATTTGTTAAGGCAGGTAAGCAATAAATACATACTTCCCTAACTATAGTACAATGTGACGCCCCCTAAGAGCATGGCAATATGAGCGGAGAGTGTCTCACGCTGTTACATGGCAAGTACTTATAAGGATATTATATTTTTCTCGAACGGATACGGAAAGTTTGTCATTTATGGGCCATGTCAGGGCCAGCAAAATAAGTACGAAAATCCATTACAGTCCGCTGCTCTAAACTTTTAAATCTATCTACTAACAATTAACTATGTAAACAGTTAAAAGAAAAACTTATACAGCCAACTGTCCAGTGTTCGTAATTGCGAGAATTAAAAATACCTACATGTACAGCTTATTTAAAAAAAATAAACTGTGGTAAAATAAACTAAAGTGCTTTGGTATTCTTTTCTGTTTTTTTGCCTTTTATGTATTTTCGCCGCGAAAATGGGTTCTTATGGAAAGAGCGATAACTAAAATACAGTAATGGATTGTACTCCGCCTAATTTAAAACAAGAGGCAATATTCGCCAAATGACCTTTCTTTCTTTAGTCTTATTATTATTTCCTCACATTGTTTGAGAAAAGCACTATACGTTCCTCGGCGGGAACGGGGATTGCTTGACTCGTATTGGGTAATATAAGGCCTCGCTGGCTCTCAGCCTTATAACTATACCTGTCTAGCAAAAAGTAGGAATAAAATTAGTATCTTTCTTAAAAAAATACCCTAATAATAATAATGCTGAATTCAAGTAACTTGGTGGTGCCAGTGACCGACAAGCACCACTTTTCGACATCTTTTTTTATTTTTTTTTTAATAAGATTTAGGACAACATTTTCTATCATAGTAACACGTTTCTTATTGGTAAGTGTCAGTTACAGGGTGTTCATTATTGGTGAGTATCGATTACTGTTAGTTAATTAGTGGATTTTTGGTGTTCATTAGTGAAGATTTCGGGAAATTCTAGTTTCGGTTTTTTAATAAGAATTATATTATAGATTTTTTATAAAACTTACTTCTACATAATCGTTATTGAGGATTATATATGTCAACTAAACTAATCTAATCACTATTGATAAGTTCAAAAACAAAAAAGTTTTTCAAATTTAAAGACACACTTCCCTCAAATTGTCGATCAGTGGTGCCATCATTCTAATACCAATGCTTTATCATTCAGGTTATTTAGCTGAAAAAGAACAAAACTACAAAAGTGCTGCTCAAAACTACGACAACGCTTGGGTCCATGGGGGCAAGTCGGACCTCGCTGTTGGTTACAAGCTGGCTCACGCCTATCTCAAACTGAAGAAGTTTCCAGAATGCATTGTGGTCTGTAGACATATTCTAAAGGCTTATCCGGATTATCCAAAAATAAAAAAAGAAATATTCGAGAAGGCGAAAGTCAATTTAAGGACTTAGCTGACACTATAATAATAACTTTGTTTAATTTATACCTAGATACGTTGTTATACAGTGGCTCAATTTACATTGCGGCGGAACGGAATGGAACGTAAGCGCCAATTTCGCCTCGCTTCGCAAGAATGCTCGATGCAGGAATGCTCGAGCATTCGCGGGAATTCTGGAGCATTCGCAGGAGTTCTCGAGCATTTGCGGGAATTCGCGAGCTTTCTGGCGACTGCGCCTTGAGGCTATAGTATTTCGTCGACGTTTGACGTTACACTGCGCCTGCTTTCGCGTCACTTTCCGCGGATTCGCCAGGCATCGCTGATGGCAGCCGCGGAATTCCCGTGCATTCTCGAGCATGCGCGAGAATTCCGCGTAAGACGCGCATTATGTTTTTTGGCTCTTATCTAGTTTATAAGTTACACAATTGATAATAAAGTTCATTATGCTATGTACAATATCGTTGCAAAAATTCGCTTCCACTCCATTGCGCCGCAATATAAAATGAGCCTTAGATATTCGTAAACAAGTAGGTACCTTGTAAAGTAAGATTCATGGCAATTGAGACTACCTACTTTACTGCATCTATAAATACATATATCAAAACTATAGGATGTTTCATTTTCATTCATATAACTTTAAAAATACTGGCCATATAAAAAAGATTAAACGTCAATTTGTCACCAGTACATTTCTTTTCCGTGTTCTAAATTAAAATTTAAAACCGGAATAATTTACTTAACTTTATACATTTCGAAAAAAAATAAGTACCTCCAACACCAAGGCAATTGAGAATATTTTTACTTTTATACATTGCTAAAAATACATTTTACAACAAATAATACAACATTAAGCCTCTTTTATTACTGTAACTCTGGCCACATACAAAAGATTTGCACGTCAATTTGTTCTAATTCTTTTGTCATTTTTTTCAGTATTCTTAAGTCAAATTTAAAACAGGAATGTCGCACGCAGTAAAATAAAAAATATTTTGGCAATTGAAAATCTATCTAACCTATTGCATGTCTAAATATATACGTAAAATTAAGTTCACGTGTGATGTATACATAGATGAACGCTTATAAAAGACTTCTGTACACTAAAACATTGATAATGCAGTACTTACGGCGTGGATAAATATGTGTCCATCCTAATTGAGTATAATATGATACAAGCATAAGTGACCAGTTTTGTAAAAAAAAAATATTCTTATCCCACTGCTCTGCAAGAAGAGTAATGTTTTTAGAGTGTATATACCGCACCCTTCCTAATAAAGTGACTAAATTCCGAAAGTTATTTTTGAGAGACTGATAAGATAAAAAAAAATTAAAAGAAAAATGTCATTTAACTGGTACATAATATGACTTAATACTATTTAATACCAAAGACATATATAATTTTTTCGTGCGTTTTTTTTAATTTATTTTGTCAGTTTCTCAAAAAATATATACGCTATAGTTTTGTCTACTTGTACATTTAATATTGGTTCAAAAAGTACCTGGTATCTGTAAAGTTTGTACTTACTTCCTATAACACAATAAAACTTCATAAAATAAACATCTATTTCTGTTATTTTTGTGACCTTTGTATTTCAACTGTGAAGTTGTATAAGAAGTGGGTATAAGAAGAAAATTCAAAATGTTCTTAACACGTAATCTGTGACGGACAGACGAGTTCGAGATAGCCTGGTGGTGCGACACGCCTGTCCATAGCAGTTGCAGTGTCGCTCAGAGCTTTCAATTGCGAAGATCTGAGGGGCACTGCCACTACACCCGTCACCCTGGATTTGAGTCGAAAAGTCCCATGTACTACAGGTACCAGTACCATTCAAAACGGGAACGCAGTAATGCTCGCGTTACCGCCTGGCGGCAGAAATAGGCAAGGTGGCAGTAGTTCCCTGGACGGACCATGTCATAAGGAGTCACTGCTACTAAAGTACTTGGGCCTTTGCAAGGTATAGGCATAGAGTAAATAGGCATTATTTAGATGTGCGTGTTCCGTGGCCAAACGGTTACCATGCCAGACTGCCACGCAGAGGTCCCAGGTTCGATTCCCGGGTCGGGAGAAATATTTCTATGGGCTACATTTATTTCTCTCGTGAGTTTGGTTGTAATTTGTGGTTGTCTATGTGTGTGTCCATGGCACCCGCAATCAGGGTTTCCCTAGTGCGGGGTTATGTTGAATGCGTGCGTTAAAGAAAAAAGAAATCGATCAATTGTAATAAATTATTATTATTATTTAGTAATATTAAAAAGGGTTTCTCATTGGTCAGATTGGTCTAGCCAATGGGATTTTATTCCCATTGTCCAGATCAGCTCGTGATTGATTAAGGTATCATTGAGTACAAAAAGCTAACCATAGATAATGGGCGCGTCCCCGGGCAAAACGCTGCGCTAGCCGTTTTTCTATATTTTTAATAGCTTTCTAGCGTTATTGAAAGAAAAAAAATTAAAAATATATTATATGTCTTCCGAATGTTGTCCTCATACCCGATGGATTTTTTGGATAGAGTTACAGGCCTACCGCTTAACTGAGTCGGTTCCTCAGGTAGCTGCGCGGTGCGGGAGGAGTGACAGATTATGTAACAGTTATGTCGCGATGCATACGTGATTATTTCAACAAGATTTTTCTGACGATATTCAGTAACAAGTCGATTGAAAAAAAGTGCCAAGTGGTTTATCTATTCATTTCAATTATCAATGAAATAGCTTTTTTTTATTATCGTTTCACATTACAATTGACTAACATCGCAACTTGTTATTGGATATTAAGATAATGCAATGAAACATGTAGGTAAGCAGGAAATTTTAGTTACAACGTGCAAGGAAATAAAACTATTTTAACGGATTTAAATCGCGTACATTTGTTTTATATTAGTTACCGTCGCGTAAACGAGTCTGCGAGCAAGTCATGGATAAACCATGCAATGAAGTTTGACAAACCCCAATTCCTTGCAAAAGAAGTCCGTTATCTACCCAGGGTGTTGTGCATTGATATTAAAAAACATCCTAATTTCAACAGGGAAGATGAAATCTTCACTCTCTCCGTATCACCAGTTTGGGATCCAGTATTTCCTCTGATGAAAAATCCCAAACAGACATAAGACTGCAGTACTAATTAATATGTTTTAATTTATTCTAATTTCTATTATTAATTAATAATAAATTGAACTTAATAAAAATTCATTCAATAAAATAATTTGTAAAACTTAATGTAGAGTAATTGGAATGTTTTCTTTGTAAAATTAAAAATAAGGTATTTAATTAATAACTTTTGTAATTATAGTGGAAAAAATAGGGTGGTTTGCATTAATATTAGACATAACTGGTTGATGACTGTACCACCTCAGATAACCGTGACCATGGGACCTGTAAAGGGCTCGAAACGTCGGTTTGTTTGACAAAACAAATATACGCGATTTAAATCCGGGAAAATAGTTTCATTTCCTATGTGTAACAATCGCGAAAATCTAAGATACTACATGCTAGTTTTAATATTTGATTATTGTAAAGTAATTTTATTACAAGTAGATACCTCCAATGAAAACAACGCCAACTTTATTTTTTGATAATTTTCTGTTATTTTAGTAAACGGCCATATTTATTTACTAATATTATGCTGCCCGAATTTTGTAAAAAAAAAATAAAGAAACAAAAACCAAATTCTAAAAAAACAAAAAACAAATTTTGTGAAAAAAGTTGGCGTAGTGTTCATTGGAGGTATCGAAATATTCATATTTTATATCTACCTACTACCCTGGTACTAAGAAGTTTATTTTTCGCAGATACTGTTGTACAGTCAACAAGAAAATGTACTTGATGGTTGTATTACTGTATTTTATTTAGTTTATTAGAAATTAACAACATTAACTAATAATAATAATAATAAATAACGCACACACTCAACATAGCCCCACACTAGGGAAACCCTGTGTCACGGGTGCCATGGACACACACATAGACAACCACAAATTACACCCAAAGTCACGAGAGAAATAATTGTAGGCCATACAACTATTTATCTCGGCCCGGGAATCGAACCTAGGACCTCTGCGTGGCAGTCCGGCATGGTAACCGTTCGGCCACCGAGGCAGTTTACTAATAACTATAATGGTCAAGGTCTTAAACCCTTTGTTATTTTCTTAAATACTATTAAGATTGATTTTTGTTACTTGTGATTTGCAATATGTCAATATTAATGACCTGTCACAAAAACAAAGTAAAGAAACAGAAAACAAATTTCGAAAAAATAGACCAAAAAACGAATTTTCTCAAAAAAAAGAAACACTATAAAAACAGAACAGGTCCAAAAACTTAGTTGGCGTAGTGATCACTGGAGGTATCGAAATATGACCAATAAAATGACATTTGGATCGCTTTATATTTCAAAAGTATTTTACGATAAAGTCTGTTGATAGACTGTAAAAAAACTTTGTAGTAGGTTCAACAAGATAATGACAACAAAATGCAGAGACCAAAAGCAAATACTGATAAACGATATCCTATCTCCATGGTATCTGTATTAGGTTTGAACAAAACTAAATGGAAAGAATCAATGATCTTATAACATCATTGGAAAATACATTGTTTCAATGGGAAATACATCTTGTCATGCCATTCGACATTAAATCATTGTTCTAATGTACAGTCGCTACCCTAAGATACCTGGCCCCGTAGATGACCTTTTGGTTCTGCGAGCCCTCTTGCGCATTCAAGAGAAAAGTGTAAAGGAATTAGGGCTTTTTGTTTGAAATTTATGTCAAATTGGCTTAAAAAGCTTATTAAAACGTCATTCACCAATGATGCAATGATGAAGTCATACCAAACTGTATGTTATAGGTCACTGGAGGTTAAGTTTATCTAACATTTTTCTTCACATTGATTTCGGTCTATAACCGATTAGAGGTCAGATATCTTAGGGCATGGACTGTACAACCAGCCTAAATCTTTATGTTAAAATTCAAAACTACGCTATTTACAATAGCAAATAACCATGTAGTTAAATAATGTATTGATCGAAGGTGTAACGACTGCACGATTCATGCCGTTACTGAACCATTTAAAGCGTGTCGCATATTGTATTACCCTCGCCATATTCGACACCGACAATGCAACTTACAGTTATAGAAACTCAAACCTAATGGCGTGTCGTGTCAATACAATATAACACTTCTTTCTTCCCCTTTTCTTCTTATTTTGACCGAAAGAAGTATTAATAATATACCAAGATGGGGGCGATGTTCAGGAGCGAGGAAATGGCTCTGTGCCAGCTCTTCATCCAGCCCGAGGCGGCGTATACTTCGGTCTCCGAGTTGGGAGAGACCGGCTCTGTGCAATTTAGAGACGTGAGTAAATATCTGTTGTATGTGTAATTGTCAAGGGGCCGTGAACGCAGTTTACAATGCAAAGCTGCAGAAACTTTAAAGATATTTTAAAAAAATAGCGGGACACAAACACGTTATAATTATAATACTTGAATGGGATACTTAACATGTGACCAAAAGTAAAATAAATCATTTCAGTTCATTTTCAAAACATGTACTACTTAGTACGTTACGTTAGTATTATGTACTACGTTAATTTGTAAAATTAGATGTACATAGTAATAAGCGACACGTCTGTTTATAGTCATACCAGTTGCCGTGCCATAAAGATCTGAGAAACACTGCTCCTACGCTTGTCACCCTGAGACATAAGTTGACAAGTCGCACATGTCTGTAATTTCACCAGCACCATTACCCTTCGAAACCGATGAATAATACGAAATCCCTTTTTTACTCTACAAGCCCAATATCGGGCAATTAAAGCTTAAAATATAATTTGTAGACCCTTTTCAAGTTGAAAGGTAAAGGTATAATCAAAGTTTGTAATAAATATAATTTCTAGTAATTCTTTTTTTTGTGCCTACTCAAAAGTTCACATAAATGGAGGTTACGAGGTTGACGAATTTAGTCGACAAAGTATATTTCACGTAGATACAGGTAGAAGTAGATTAAAATAATGTTTTAAAGGCACATGACCTTTTTTCTTATCCGAATGTGTAAACTCGTGATGCATTCATATATAAATCTTCAAGTCTCGTAAATTAATAAGGTAAATTTACGGCACTTGAAGATTAAGATTTGAATGCTCGCGCATTATGATATATACAATATCGTTACAGAAAGTAGCTTCCATACCGTTCCGCCGCAATATAAATTGAGCCTAACTGCTATAGAAATAATGACTATTTACTGAACAGTTGAACGAGGACGTGAACGTATTCCAACGCAAGTTTGTGAATGAGGTGCGACGATGTGACGAGATGGAGCGCAAGCTGCGCTACATTGAGAGCGAAGTCCACAAGGACGGCGTCCGTATCCCCGCCATAAAGGAACCGCCTCGCGCTCCCAATCCGAGGGAAATTGTTGATCTTGAGGTAAAAAATATATAAGGTTTATGCTTATATAAGGTTTTTCAACAGGGGCATAACAATTTTGTATTTCAATAATAGATATTCAGCCCAAATTTATTCCACGTCCAGTTCACATGTTGCATTTAAGAATGGAATTCGATGTTGTTCATATGACCGCCGCGAGCGCGTCTGCAGTTCAATTCTTTGGAGCCAATTTTCCACCATTCTTCACATATCAGATAAAATGTTGGCAATATCGCGTATGTTATTGTTCCTGAGCTCTTTTAACGTTGGCATAAACCAACGACTAAACTTAACCACATAAAAAATAATCCAATGCCGTTAGATCGCATGATCGAGGTAGCCGTTCGACCGGACTATTTCGCCAGATTACACGATTATCGAACTTCCTCTTCAATAATAACACACACACTAACATAGGCCCCGCGCTAGGCAAAACCCTGTGTCGCTGGTGCCATGGGCACACATATAACCACAAATTACACCCAAACTCACGAGATAAATAAATGTAGGCCATACAAATATTTCTCCCGGCACGGGAATCGAACCTTTGACCTCTGAGTGGCAGACCAACATAGTAACCGTTCGTCCACGGAGGCAGCAGATGTGTTTGTTAATTGTTGTGTTGGTTTGAACAAGAGTGCCTCAAATTCAGAATTGTTGTTCAGCATTTCGTTTCTGTTTATTTTTTTTTAATAAATAATAAATAAATAAATATTAGACAACATCACATATATTGCTCTGATCCCAAAGTAAGTAACTAAAGGACTTGTGTTATGAACATCGGAAACAACGACAGTACCACAAACACCCAGACCCGAGATAGTACAGAAAAGTTAGTTTTCTACATTGATTCGGCCGGGGATCTTGAACTTGAACTTGGGACTTCGAGAGATCACGGAGGTCGTCATACTCCCATAATCGTATCCTTATTACGTGTAGTACATTTTCATTATAAACAACAGCAGATAATGATCGATGTACTCCTTAACACTTTTCAATCGCTCTGTTTTTTCTATCAATTCGTGATGTTAGTTATTTTAGAAGTCCACAAAGTCGCGATATTTTTTTATTACGTATAGTATGAGGCACATGAGCAGGCGAGCCACTTGATTGATGAGAGGTGGTCATTGTCGCCCAAGGACATCTGTAACGAGCTGCCTTTGCATTGACAGCCTTTGAGAGCCCGTGTCATAGAGCAAAGGATATACTTCAGGAGGAAGATCATCCGAAATCTTGCAGGTTCGAGAAAGGAACGAATATAATGCCCGCGGAGCTTGATGGAGGGATGGACTTTATTCTATACATATATGATGAATGATATTTAACTTACAAAAATTTTTTGGCGCGGGTACAAATACTTCGCTTCGTTTGTCCAATATAAGAGAGACCGCACTCACAGTTAAGTTTGTAAACTCCTGCATCCTGTAAGGGGATGTTACATTTCACGGTTCTCAGGAACTGAGAAATCTTCCTCAGGGGCTTGAGATAGGTCTTACAAAAGTTTATTTAAGTTTTATAGTGTATGTCCTTGTTTCCTGTCCATAGGCCCACTTGGAAAAGACAGAGAACGAGATCTCAGAGTTGTCGCAAAATGCAGTGAACCTCAAACAGTACTATCTTGAGCTGACGGAGCTGAAACACGTGCTCGAGGAGACGGAAGCTTTCTTTGCCGCGCAGGAAGAGGTCGACATGGATTCTTTAAAAAAGTAAATGTTCATATCTGAAACATTGGCAGCAACAGTATTTATTTATATATTTATTACATAGCTCTATGCACTTACTGTTTCCCAAAACGTACATAGATTAGAACTACTAAAAAGATAATTAAAAATACAGAATAAAAATTACAAAAATACATCACTCCTATAGGAGTATAGGTTGATATACCAATACATTTTAGATTCTTATTCGATTAGTGTGACAAAGTGAACAGCTATAAAGAGGTCAAAGAACTGGCTGTGAACCGCGAGGAGTGGAGAAGGCTTCACCGACAAGAGTCTAGCTCTTAAATAAGACGATGATTCGATTAATACGAATATAAACTTCCTTATAAAACTTCATTTTCTTTCCACTATTATCAAATAAATGTATATCTTGGTGGTGAGCAATCAGGGCATTGGCCAACGATAACGCCCTATGAGTAGCGGCGTGTTGAGTAGCATTAAAGTGCTTTTCCACTAACGAGGAGAGACGAAACGAGGCTATGCGAGAATTGAAATCTCGCCGACCTATTTTCACCAAAAATTGTCATCGCAAGCACGCGCGTTCTCGCGCAAGCACTCTCCGACTGTCCAATTCGTCTAGCGATAAACACGCGGCTAAAGTACCATGTCCCGCAAATTCTTATTATTAAATATGTTAACGGAAGAAGAATCAAGACGAAGATACTGTAAGAAGAAATAATCATGTAATATAAGCTGTTTGTACCCTCTAAGATATACTAAATAAATAAATAAAAATAAAAAGAACTTTTCGAAAATAAGTTTTTTATATATAATCTTTTATCCCAGGTCAAATATTACGAACTAGCAAAATACACAAAAAATGTTTACAACTAGCGCTGGTATGTTTACATTATGATGCAACTATACCCTTTTTAAAATTGAGTCGTGATTACATATCTTCTAAAACTGCACAAGGTACATTTTTTAAATATCTAATATTTACATAATTTCGAAAATGTGTGAACGTTTACATTTCAATGCACGCGACTGTATCCCACAATCTCGTGATTGTGGGATACAGTCATAGCCATCGCGAGCACGCGCGAGCTCGCGCGATATCGTACGAGATATCGTGAATCGTGTTTCCGTTGTAGAATTATTAAAGAGTCTATATAGGCAACAATACGATTCAATGTTACATCAACAAATATTTTCGTCAATCCCGACCATTTCCACCGAAGATGCGCAAGGAGAGAATTGATATTTTGTCATGCAAGTTTTAAAAATCGTCTCGTCTCGTCTCGCCTCGCCGGTGGAAATACACCCTCACAGTGCGCAGTGCCAATCGCAAATACAGGCTGTTGTCGACGGCGCAAGTATTTGTCAGGGACATGCAACGTGCAACGAGCTAATCTTTGGGATTTAAAGCTCTTGAGTGGCACTGCAACTGCTATGGACAGGCGTATTGTTTACTACCAGGCGCATGACATGTACGTCCCGTCATTTTGTATCATAAAAGAAAATAGATTGGTAATTTTTGTAATCAAATTCATCATATCTGTTATAGTCCAGAAAATAATTTTGGCTTGTGATCAATATTTGAATAATATTTTAGGGAAAAAACTGACTTCTTAAATTTCACACAACAGCCTAGATAAACCACTTACATCACTGATGCTGGCGACGATCGCCATAATATTTAGAATATTTTACTAAAACATCCTGGACACTGGCAGAGTTGTCCTCAGTGGGACGGAAGCCAAAACCTGTAAAAATAATAATAACTTACTTCCAGGCTTTTTGATAATTTTGACCTTTTTCATGTCCATGGTACATTTAACATGATTCGCCATCTCTCATCTGTTTTCGTTAGTGTAGGTCACAAATACCTGACGAAACAACCCGGGCACAGCAAGTCACCCCAGACAGCCGCCTCGGTTTTGTAGCGGGCGTGATAGCGCGCGAACGCATGCCCTCCTTCGAGCGCATGCTCTGGCGCATCACACGCGGCAACATCTTCTTGCGACACACTGAGCTTGATAAACCTTTAGAGGATCCTAAAACTGTGAGTTCTTCAGTATTACCCCAAACCAATATTTTCACATCTTTATTTAATAAGTAAATTTTATCCTCGTAAAAAAGCGATGAAAGTAAGCTAGCCATCTGCCGAAGAAAAACGGAGAGAAGTATGTTAGGGATAAAAGAGAGAGAATTAAGAATACAGCAATCACAGTAACAAACAAAGTAACAAATGTAATAAACACTCGGCCAATTTCGGACTAGTGTGCACTACCTAATTTCCGTGGCAATTTTTATTATTTAAGTTTACGAATTTTTTATCGTACAATATTATTTAATATTTGAGTATTGTATCGTGAAATATTATTTAATTATTACACGATAATATTACTACTTTTAGAGGTGGAGTATTTTCTTCAAATTTGAATGAAACCACTGCTTAGGTAGTTCCTATCTAACAAAAAAGAATCATCGAAATCGGTTCGAAATTTCGGAGTAATCGAGTAACATATTACACTTAAAAAACACAGTCGAATTGATAATCTCTTCCTATTTCTGAAATCGGTTAAAATGGTTGTTACAATCATTTTCATCATTATTTCAAACACATCACTTTTTCACTGTACTTTGTCATTGCATATAAATTTTTGTACGTGTTTATTCCCAGAACTGTCAAAATAATAATTACTTTTTTCCACAGGGCGACCAGATATACAAATCAGTCTTCGTAGCGTTCCTTCAAGGTGAACAAATTAAGCTTCGCATCAAGAAAGTGTGCACTGGCTTCCACGCATCACTGTACCCCTGCCCGCCATCCAGCAAAGAGCGACAGGACATGGTGAAGGGCGTCCACACCCGCCTAGCAGATCTTATCTTGGTATGTTATTAACTAACTAACGAATAACTCACATATTTACCAGTCCGTGGTTCTTAATCATGAAATTCTGCGGCCCTAGCCCAGATCCTAAAGCCCTATGGCCCTATATCAGTACTCGTTGGTTTCATTCTTATCAGTCATACGCAGGATTGCACACTACACTAACAACGTCACTTTCTATAGACTATCCACAATAACCAACTTACGTAGTACAACGTCAAGAGCACGTCAAGCTTGACACTAAAGGCTTAAATTTAACTCTATTCCGCTTGCAATAGGAACCAAAGTCTAAAGTGTCAAACCACCAGCCTGGAAAACAGTGTCAGGTACTACGTCAATGGTCATTGTGGATGAGATAAATAAAGTATGGTGTTGGACTCACCATATTTATGTACTAGCGTACTAAATGCGGCGTTCCATGCACACTGTGTTTCACTGATGTGTGGTTCCGACACAACACTTCAATATCATTTCATCAACCTGAGTAACTTTTTGTCCATCGTAATTTATTAGGGTCGGCGGACTAAAGCATATACCTATGTCTAAAAGATTGCTTCATTTTTTATTATATAATGATATTTTTTATATATTGTGTATAATGTTGGAAGATATGAAGAGAATGATGAATTGAAAAAGACGTCTTATCCAAACTTAGTCTTATCCAAATTTTCAACGAGACTATTTAATTGTAGCCATTTTATATTGTCACTTAGTGCATCATTCAAAATTGATTCATATTAATTAAAATTAGTACATAGAACCACCACAGAGGAATCGTCAGCAATAAGTATCATATTTTGTTGAATAAAATTTGGCAAATAGTTGGTATCAATTGTAGACGATTAATATACTTACCTATTACTATTCCTACTCTACATTAACGATCTCCCACGTGCTATTGATCATAATTGTATGCAATTTGCTGACGATACAACTCTTATAATAAAATGCCAAAACAAAACGACTTTTAACACTGACGTAAATAAAGCACTGACAGACGTAATAAGTTCGATGGGCATCAATGACTTGAATATTAATATAAGTAAAACCAAAGTTCTGACATTTAGATCTTACAACTCCAATCCCATACCGGTTAAAATTAATTACAACTCAGATACTGTAGATGAAGTAGACACATTTTACTTTCTTGGGTTAACAATCGACAAGAACCTTAACTGGAAGGAACACATCGAACAGATGTGCATGAACCTACACAGATTTGTTTACGCTTTACGAAGACTAAGGCAAAATGTCTCGCTTATCACGGCTACGTTTCGTCCGTGCTCAGCTACAGTCTTGTACAATGGTTTAACTCAGTAATCTTAGAAACAGCGTTTAAAGTCCAGAAGAAGTGTATTCGAGCAATTTGCGGCGCGTGGTTCGATGACAGTTGTAAGCCGCTGTTCAAAATGCTAAACACATTCCCTTTGCCATGCATGTACATTAAGGTATATCTGCGTATTTGTCAACTCACATCCTCAATATTTTAAGACACGCGTTGAAGTCATTCAAAGGCAAACTAGGGCAAAAATTATGAATCTCTTATACCAACCTCGTTGCCATACAGTAATTTATAAAAATAATTGCTTCAACATGCGTATAATTATTTTCAGTAAATTACCAAACGAAATTAAATTGTTACAAGGACATACTTTTAAATTAAAATTGACAAAATGGCTTTTGACACATTGC